TAATCTAGGGGCCTAAATAATTACCATTCTGGGGCCTCCTAATCAGGGACCCCCAAACCCTATTCTAATTATTAAGACCCCTACATTAATCCGAAAACAACCTGCAATGCAGGATCTAGGGGGTCTTACAACGGTCTGATAAGCGGACTTACAAGGTTTCCGGGCGGAGCATGTCTTGCTGCACTGTCAACCATGCTATCGCCATTGTTGCCTTGATCAAAGAAGCAAACTGATGTATGGGCCTTAATGACTAGAATAGGGTTTTCGGGCATAGTATACCACCACTACAATAGGGAACCCGCCAAAATAGTATTGGTAATTTGTTTAGGCCCTTGCCATAACACTTGCAATTCGTTCTCTCCGTCTCTCTCTCGCGATCTCTCTTCGCCCTCCCCCCTTTCCTCCATTTCTCCTGTCCAGAGGCTTCTGGAGGGGCTGTGCTGTCCGAAAGTAAGTTGCAGTTTCTGCCCAAGCCTGAACCGTACATGGCAGCCTCTAGTGAACCAAGGCTCATTCTTGCAAGGACCTCCGCCCTGTCTGTCTCGGACATGTCCTCGAACTCTTTGCCCGTGAGGGACTTTTTGCTGGCATCCTTGTGGTGTTCAGGATTTAGGGTGGTGCAGCGTGTGGGGTTTACGGCGGCGCGTTTGGGGTTTAGGGTGTAGAACTCTTTGGGTTTCTTGTCTATGGTGCAGAGTCTGGAGTTTCAGGCCAAGGTTTTGCCGGCTTAGGTGACATGGAAAGAGAGATGCTCAAAGCCACACAGACCAGATAGGCCGAGGCAAACTGAAACAGGAGCTTCATGCAGGGACCTTGCGCAAGCCGCGTCAATCCTACCAACTCTGCGTCCCGATGATGTGTGGGTGGGCTCTTCGAACCCACGTCCTTTTCCACCTCGATGTGACTGAGGAGCCAGAAGCCCATATTTCTGATATCCCTAAGCCCTAAGCCCTAAACCCTAAGCCCTATAAACCCGAAAGACCTGATGGCTTCCAAACGTGAGCGCCTCCGGAGCGGGCTGCCGCTCGGAACCTGCCTTTTTTGTCAGCAACCCTGACCCTTTTGCACCTGCAAACCCCCAGCCTCTACCCAAACCCCAAACACATCAAAGCCCCCCAAGAAAAATCCCAAACTCGGAATGCTCAAACCAAAAGCCCTTTAGGAAGCCCTATAGCAGCCTAGAAGCGAGGAAATGAAGCCGAAGTTGACTAGTTCATCATCAAGCAGACACACATCCAACAAGATTCCATAGAACTTCGGTTGTAGCCACTGCACCCAGCACTGAAGACCCCCTAAACCTTAAACACTTGAGCCCTAATCCCCTAAACCCCCTTTGCCCCTAAACCCTAATCCCTTATAACCAAAAACCCCCCCAAAACCCCTAAACACCAAACCCTGGCCCTAAACCCTCATGCCCCGACCCCCCAAATCCCTAGACACCAAACCCTAAACCCCCTAAACCCTAAACCCTAAACCCTAAACCCCCTAAACCCTAAACCCTAAACCCTAAACCCTAAACCCCCAATCCCCCAAGATCTGCCCAAATGGCCGAGTTGGGGGCGAGGATTCCTAGCTGCCGGGAGATCGCCTCCGCGGTCGCCTTGCGAAGTTCCGACTGCAAGTGCGATTTTTTTTGGTTGAGGGCTCAGGGCTTTAGGCTTTAGGGTTTAGGGCTTAGGGTTTTAGGATTTAGTTTAGGGTTTGCGGAAATATAGAACTCGGCAATAATTAAATAGAGTGCTGGGGTAGTCTACGGTAAAGATACAGGGACTGATTAGAAGGAGAGGCCTTTTTTGCCTTCGCAACTCGGCAAGACGGGTTTGGGGTTTAGGGGACCCCTTAATGGAGCATTTGTTCACAACAAGTCGGTACGAGGACTTTAGCAAAATAGAAGAAGGGGCCAAGGCTTTAGGGGCTTTAGGGTTTAAAGGACTTTCAAGGCTTGAGGGTTCAAAGGTTTTTAGGTTCGAGGGCCTAAACGGGCTTTAAAGGTTTGATTTCCGCGAACCCTAAACCCTAAACCCTAAGGGGCCTGAAAAGACTTTTTAGGGTTTAGGGCTTTGAGGTTTTGAGCGCTTCGAGGGTTTTGAAGGCTTCGAGCGCTTCGAGGGTTTTTAGGGTGTTTAGAGTGCTAGGGGTTTAGGCGCGCATGTATATAGTCTATAACCATTTAGCTGGACGTATATAGGTTTTAGGATCCAGGGCTTGATGGCTTTAGAGTTATAGGGTGTTTGGTCTAGTCCCACGGACAATGTATGTAATGGGGCACACGCCTTGTTGTCACCCGTCGTCATGAAGACGCCTGGGTCATTCCTACGAAACCGTCGACGACCGAAGGGGAGCTCAGGCTGAGGAGGACCAGTGGTGGACTCAAGGGATAGCTGAAGCCGTGCTGCTTGGCCAAGGCAGGGTTCGTAAGCTTTTCTGTGACGCTGCATTCAGCACCGAAACGATTGAAATGTCCTAACATCAAGGTGCCTCGCCTGTTTCTGTTGCCGCCATAGGGGCTGATACCAGCTTCCTTGCAGGCCCTGATGGCATCCATGCACTCTGGTCGCGGTGGGTCAATAATGCCTGGCAAGGTCTTTCCAGAGCATTTGGGACTTATATAGTGGCGAGAAGACTAGAGCTTCATGCCTACGACCGTTTTGTCCTTCAACCCTGATCCAATCGACTCTGATACATACTTAATTGGACGTGGAAGTTGTCTTCCGAAAGGGCATTTGGGAAAGTCATGAACATTACATGCTATCCTGAAACCTTAAACCCAACCGTAAGCCCCTTTCTCCAAAAAGAAAGCTAAGACACATATTTCGATCAAGCTTCAGATCATAACCTCCATTCGCAATGGTGAAGCACCTACATCCTACACCTTGAGGCATTAAACCCTAAGCCCTGAACTCCACCGCCCCTTTCCCGAATGATTACTTAAATCAAAGCCATAAACAACAAAGCTCTAAACTCCAAAATCCTGAAGCTCTGACCCACCCCTAAACCCTGAACCCACGGAACCCTAAATCTGTAAACTGCCCCTGGCCGCCTACCATTCCAACGAAGGTCATCTGCTGCTCAACCGAGGAGAAGTTCTTGGGCTCACAGAGGAGGTCGTGGGAAGGATGCCTTCGTCTGATTAGAAGGCTTTCACACTTTGTTGAACAAGGGTCTGTGAAGTTTCTGTATTTAGAATTCCGTTACCATAATCACACAGCGATTCTATACCGGGTCTATACCAAGTATTGCCGAGCATGTACCTTATAGTTGACAAGAAGCAGGTTCAATAGTCACGAGCACCCAGGTTTGAACAGAACTAGTGCTGCAACTTGGTACGAGTAAGGCGCGTTGGCCTTTGAGTGACGTCGCCCTAAGATTAGATCCCACAATCTCGTTATGGGCATCTCTTGCACATTTAAAGTCGCATGCAACCTGGAGCACAGAAGTATTCGAAATCTACATCACACACAGAACCGGCACGCCGTTATCTTTTTCCGGGCAGAATAGCACCGCCTCGGTCCCAATTAATTGCTTCGGCGAACTTCGTGTTGCTTGGGCCAGCTTCCCAGTCTGTGCGACTGTAGGGCCCAGTGGTTGGAGGTTTGACGTTTTACTGTAATGACTTTCGGCAGGGATAAACTACAGCCCTGTCGATCCCAGCCTGTAGGAAATATTGTAAAAATGACCCAGAACCCTAGAAACCCTATCATTCTGTGCGGGTTTATAAGACTTGAGCCATAGGCTGGCCACACTCGGACCAGCCGCTTGAAGTTGTTGCTTCGAAGTTCGTCGGGGTGAAGCTCTTCGCAATAACTCATCATTACATAGGTTATACACATATGCACGCACACATATCTATATATATACACACACAGAGACATATCCCAAAATATGTCATATGTAGTAATATGTAGTAATTAGCTAACGTACATGCATGCAATCACTGCCGCTCAGACGTCTGCGGACAAGTGAGGCTTGCCTTGCTCGAAGCTGCTCCTCGAAATCCGCCCTGGAGCGACGAAGCTGTCCTATGTTCCACGGTCTCAAAGTAAAGTTTAGGGCTTAGGGTTTAAAAATAAGGGTACCCTTTTTCCTAATGTTTGGCTTCACAAAGGGGACCCAAACAAGAAAGGCAAAAGGGCATACTACTTAGGAGCCTGGTGTCTTGAGGACTTCCCAGAAAAGCCGCCGCATCACCGCTGGTGTCTAACGTCCAGAAGCTGATGCAGTTGGATAGGGCAGACCTGAATCCACAACCTTGAAAGAACCACCAGCGCCCTCGAATTTTTGGAAAGCGCCGCTGCACGTGGCTGGGTCTGACCAGGACTTCGTATGTCGTCAAGTTCACCATCATGTATGCCACGGTCCTGGCGACTAGCAAGCCTACGAAGTAAACCGGGAACACGTCAAGGAGGGCAGTCGTCAGGACCAGAATTGGTCGCAGCTCGGGTCCAAGAGACCCACTTGTCAGGGCCTGTAGAAGCTCACCGAAAGAGCCTCGGGAAATCTCCGGGAACACCGTGTCGAACGCATACAGAAAGACTGTGTAGTAGAAGTGAAGGACTGCGGCAAGAAGTACCACGACGAACACACTGAATGACCTCTGATTGCCCAAACCCACGCTGTTGTCTATCCAAGGACAGTAGTGGTCCATTCTGTCCACGCATCGGCCTTGCTCCTTGCAGTGATGCGAGCGCATTTTGCGCACTGAGCGGCAGATGACGCACACCTGCTTAAACTCGCCCTTCTCCACCAATGTGAGATACTCGCCACCCCCTTGCGAAAGCAGGTGCTCTACTCGAGCACGGCCGAGGCTGTCTCCTGCAGCGCGCTCACGCTCGTGTAGAGTTACCGTTGCCCGGTCCAGCTGGGCCTGCCGGGGCGTATTGTGGTTGAAGCCGGGGGGGATCAAGGGCTGCAGTTCATTCGAGGCCGGGCTTCGAGGATCGGAGCCTTCTTCAAGTCGCTTCCGCGCTTGTCGGAGAAGTTGCCGCTGATAGTTGTACTTGTTCTGCTCCAGCTCCAGCTTCATGACTTCTGGGGCCTCTCCGAAGGCAGTCGTCAGCGTCTGAAGCACACTGTCGCAGTGAGCCATCTGCGACTCGATCGGGTGATCAACATCAAACGTCCTTGCTGGATCGATGCCAAGCAGGTGACTCTGGGAGTGTATGGTGCGCGGCTGCAGCCAGCCAGGATCCGAGAAGAGGCACTGAACCCAAAGCAGCAGTGACAACCCCATCAGCGTCGACCATGTCATGACGGCTTCAGGATTTCTAGCCGCGATTCCTGGTGCCAGGACAAAGGCAAAAACGATGATGTTGTACGCAGCCAAACACACGAAGAGACCGGCGAAGTAATTCTGGAAAAGGTACGGCTTGCCAAAGAGAAAATGAAAGACCTGGCACTTGTGGAAGGCAAACACCAAGTACCTGCTCCTCTTCTTCATTGCGAGTGTAATCGGCGTTTCGCCAGCACAATCTGGGACGTCTAAGAGCTCCACAGCCCCGACTTCCATCAGCATTTCTGCGACCACTGTGTGTCCTTGCATCGCTGCCCAGTGAAGTGCAGTCATGCCGTCGAGGTCTCGGTGAACGATGCTGGCACCTCGCGAGAGCAACCACTGGACTGTCTTCTTGTTCCCCTTGTAGCATGCCCACTGCAGGGCCGTTCTGCCGTAGTCATCCTGCTCTTCCAGGCTCACGCCTTTGAGGTACATCCACTCCATCACGGGACAATTGTCATTCTGTGCGGACACAACAAATGCCGTGAAGCCGTCGCAGTCGCGCATCGAGAGAACAGCCCGGTTGGCCCCCGTCATGGCATCCAAAGCTTTCACATTGGAAGATTTGGCAGCCCAATGGACTGCACATTCACCGGAATTGTTGCCAATGTCTGGTCGGGCCTGTTTGGTCAGCAAGGGGATGAGCAGTGAGTCCAGCCTGAACAGTGCAGCATAGTGGAGAGCTGTGTTGCCGTCAGAGTCCTGACCATCTGCTCTGTAGCCCTGTGACAGCATCTCG